GTCATAACCACATATATCTGCTATAGCACAATATTGTCAGATGGAGTGTTATTCAGTGCAGTGTTTAAAAAAATTTTTTTTTTTAACCAATTTTCAGGTCATTCCCAAATAATTACTGGGACAAATTTGTGAAAAGGAAGGTGAGTGTGTGTTTTCTGATGGTTTCCTGTGGCTAGCTGTACATTTTACTGCATGCTAGACATGTAAGACATGTCCTTGTAATATTCCTGTGGTCAGGGCTTGTGTAAGGGTGATGTTGTGTAGTATTTTTTTGGAACAGCAGGTGCTTTCGGGATTGTGCCAGATTTCTTGACATTAAAATTAAACAAAACTCAGGAGTAGCTTGAAAACCTTAAGCTAAATTTTTCAAAGCTGAGAACTTTCATTTTAATGTTAAAAGTAGTATGTCAGAATGTGTTATTGAAATTTTAAATTGCATAGCGGATGGTACATTTATATATAGCATATTTACAAATAGTGATGGGCTGTAATGTTTCCTGTAGACAAGGACTGTATTTAAGAACATGAGTGTTAGTCAGCACAGTGAGGTGGTCATGTTGCGGTCATGTTCCCCTTTCAGGTGATGGACAAGTACGGGGAGTTCTATGGACATGACCGCATCAGTGAGCTGCTGGGAATGGACAAGGCTGCCCTAGACTTCAGCGACGCCCACGAGAAGAAAAAGCCTAAGAAAGACAGCTCATTAGCGGCTGTGTGAGTCAGCCTTCTGAAACAGAACCAAACTCTCCATTCGGGTTAGCTGTTGATTGTATTGAACAGCAGTGGTCAGTCGTCAATGACTAGTAGACTCCAGCACGTCAATCAACATTTGTTCGATTTTACCAAATCCCATTTCAAATAAGAATGCCCAGTTTGTTCATGTGCTATTAAAGGTCCTGTCAGAAGGTGGCAGTAATGGGCAAGGATTATGAGTTTATGTTGTACAAACAGTAAGGAAAATGCCAATGTGAATATTAGTGTACTGAAGCGCAAAGTGTGAGTGATAAAAGAAAATTGAACTGACCAAATTAGCATCTTAAAAGAAATGGCATATTCTTGACATTGCTTTTGTCCTTAAATCAAGAAACTTTGTGCATCGTCAGTTCATTAGCCCATGCCAATTGGCTTAAATAAATTGTGATTTTATTTCCTTTTTGATGACAGTTGAATGACAAATCCTCCCCTTTCACAGGCTGAACTCTATTGACGTCAAGTACCAGATCTGGAAATTAGGAGTGGTCTTTACAGACAACGTGAGTAAACCATACACAACCTCACTGTATCACAGTGATAGACTTTATATATTTATATACTAAATACTTTATATATTTATGTGTAAATGACTATATTTGTTCTTGAATTCACCCATAGCATAACTTTGATTAATGGATCATTTGCTTTTGCTTTTGCTGTTCCACAGCATTTTTCATTTTTTTCATTTTCATTTTCAGCCATCAGACATAGCATTGTGTTAACTAATAAAAGTGAAACAATTTTTAAAAAAATAATAATACACTTGCTTGAATGCACTAGCCACAGTTAAGCCCTAAGCACATTGGGTCACTCCAGCACTGACATCACAGTCCCTCCCACTTTAGCGGCTCTGTGCTCTTTGCAGTCCTTCCTCTACCTGGCCTGGTACATGACCATGTCCATCCTGGGACACTACAACAACTTCTTCTTCGCCGCCCACCTGCTGGACATCGCCATGGGCTTCAAGACGCTGCGCACCATCCTCTCCTCCGTCACGCACAATGGCAAGCAGGTAGGCAGGGTTTCCGGAAGCCTCTGTGTGGCGCTATCCTGACAATGCCTGCTCTGCTCTCTGTACATATACCTATATCTATAATTTATATTCTGGTAGGGTATGTGAGGCCTGCTCTACTCTCTATGTATATATCTATATCTATATTTTACTTCTTACTGCACTGACTATGGTTTGAATGCTGCATAATGTGAATGTAAGAGAAGTGAGTTGGTATTCCAGTGCATAGTCTGTGTGTGTGTGTGTGTGTGTGTGTGTGTGTGTGTTTGAGAGTGTGGTAGATGGCTGGTAGTGCATTCATGAATATGTTTGAAGATGTGTGTGATTATGCATGTGTACATTTTATATCTGCATGTATGTGTACAGTCATGCCTGTGTTTGTTTCGATATGTGTGCTTGTTTGTGTGTGCATGTGCGTATGCATGCCTGTGTGTGTGTGCGTGAGTGTGCGTGTGTGTGTTTTGTGCGGGTGTCTGTGGAAAACTCACCTGTCTGTGCCTCCAGCTCGTTCTGACGGTGGGCCTGCTGGCTGTGGTGGTGTACCTGTACACTGTGGTGGCCTTCAACTTCTTCCGCAAGTTCTACAACAAGAGCGAGGACGGAGAGTCCCCTGACATGAAGTGTGATGACATGCTCACTGTTAGTACTTCTCTCTTCTCTTTGCCTCCAAGCTACTTTCTTTGTGCATCTGCTGTTCCTTTTCAGTCTGTTTTGTTGGAGAGGGTGACTTATGGGGATATTCTGTGAACTAACCGATTATGTTTTACTTGGTTTGTGAAGTTTTTATGCTTTGATTAAGATGGACTTTAGATTATCTTTTCCCTCCACTGGAGGGAGGCGCTGATACAATCTGCTGATAGTAAACTATGGACATTAAGATTGTTCTTAATTAATCAGCGCTGCGCTAATGAGATTGCTAATTGCAGAGGATCCCCTAATGCCACCAGGCATCTAAATTAGCATCGCCTTTATATCCTTCAGGCGTAATTGCTCCAGGTATTAATTGAGACCAATTAAAGGTCCAGGCAAACTGACACAAAAGAACGGAATAATTAGCTTCCCTTCTCACCTGCGGCCACATACGGAGACAGTGCGGAGCCGTGGCGAGGTGTTTAAAAATCCTTGGTCAGTGAACTGTGTAGCCCGCGGGCCTGATGTGAAGAAAGAATTTTAACTGTTGAGAGTGAATTCAATTAAAATTAAAAAGTGGGTGTCAAGACAGGAGAAAGGGTGTGTGTGTGTGTGTGTGTGTGTGTGTGTGTGTGTGTGTGTGTGTGTGTGTGTGTGTGTGTGTGCTGCCAAGTTCACCGAAACGACGGCTGTATCCGGGGCCTGGGGGGGCCCCTGTCTCTGCTCGTTGCCAAGCATGAAAATGACAGAAGACACCGACATCATGGTCTGCATCCTTTCTCTTAATCCTTTCAGTGTCAGTCACCCGTGCCATTCGATTCCCGGCTCTTTTTTCCTATTAAGGACACTCCGGGCTTGAAAGGGGGCACCCGGTCCCCCTTCCAGTAAAGGTGACAGCAGCTTAGCTTGAGCCGGGGGCCGTCGATTCCTGGTGACTCAAATCCCTCAGATTGACGTGTGGGGGCCTCTTTTTATGGAAATGTGGATTTTGCACTCGAACAGCGGTCCCAGATAAATGCGAAGGTCGTGATTCTGTCCTCTTCTGTAGATTTCTACACATGGCCAACGTGTGCCAGGCAACGTGACTTGCAAAGACGGAGTCAAATCATTGGACTCCACCACTGTGGGCTAGAAGGGAGACACACTACCCACACATTATGTTGTACTGCCACTGGACGTAGAGAGTAGCACAAAGCGAGGCTACTCTGAAGTACACTTTGTACTATAAAAGTACATACACTCCAGATACTATAACTAAAATGACTATAAATACTGCATCATAAGGAATTTTCACAAAGGCAGAGATATAGAAAGAGGTTTCTACTACATTCATTATTAAAAGAGATAACATGAATGAATGATAAAAGACATAGATATAGATAGACAGACTGAAGACATGGATATAGATAGATAGATAGATTGGATCATGCCAATGCAGATACCCAGCATTAGTATTAGTCTGTGAAACCGAGCTAGGAGTGGTATATCTTCGCCTAAACATGCAGAGAGCACAGTGTGGAGTGGGAGGCTGATTAGGTGTGCCTCTTTGCTGTTTCCCAGTGTTACATGTTCCACATGTACGTGGGCGTGCGTGCCGGAGGGGGCATCGGCGACCAGATCGAGGATCCCGCGGGCGACGAATACGAGATCTACAGGATCATCTTTGACATCACCTTCTTCTTCTTCGTCATCGTCATTCTGCTTGCCATCATTCAGGGTGAGAACACGGCAGAGCCGGCCTAAGCCAATGGGACAGAGGCGCTAAATTATTCATGGCCCAGGGCTTTGAAAGCACACCAGACACCTCCATCTTTTTCTGATAAATTGCAGTTGGAAAATGTATCTGACGTCAAGGAATTTTAAGCATAAGAATATTTTTTTCTATATATATATATATATATATATATATATATATATATACACACATACACACACTACAGACAGTTTTGCTTTTCACATCTGAAAAGAACACACCCTATTTTAACATGTAATGGTATGTGACTGAATTTTTCTGTTACCCCAGGTTTAATAATTGATGCCTTTGGTGAACTTCGAGACCAGCAAGAGCAAGTGAAGGAGGACATGGAGGTGAGGACTAGGATAGCAGCGGCAGGTTTGACACTGTGAAGTGGCAGCAGTCCGTGGGGGCCATGTTGGAAGGCCAGGGGGAAACAAGTCAGAGATGATGCCTTGTTAGCGGTTACCATCCGGTGACCTAACACTCATTTGGTCAGCAAACTGAGTGACCATACACAACCTTAATGGTTGCAAAATGACTTTTTTTTACTGTGACTCTTACAAAGTATGTCCTGTGATTCCTCCAGGCACATTCAGTTGCAGATCTTAAGAAAAGGGAACAAAAACAAATGAGAGGAAAAAAGAAGTTAGGCTGAACAATGCAGCTGATATCAAAGGCAGATGTCAGACAAGGTCACTTGAGGATTTCCCTGTTTGCATGAACAGCGAAAACAAACGTAACTAGAATGAGGATTAGCCGCCTCGTGCTCTAATCTGAAAGGCAATTACACGTGCAAAGGTTGCTTGAGTTCAAACCTAATTCAGTGACTAATGGAATAAAAATATGTGTTATCAATGACAAGCAAATACCAGTGTGGCATAGTGATAATGTGCAGGGCTTATAACCAGAAGGTTGGAGGTTCGATTTCCTGCTATGGCACTTCTGCTGTACCCTTGGACAAGGTAATTGCCTCAGTAAATATCCAGCTGTACAAGTGGGTAACATGCAAAATTGTAATCTGTGTAAGATGCTCTGGATAAGCACATCTACTAAATGACAATAATGTAAAAAGAAGCAACACATAATTTATTTTTGTGCTGGATGTTGCTCTGGATAAGAGCATCTGCTAAATGAATGTAGCGTAATATAATGTAAAAGCGAGTTTATGCTTGATGACTGTGTTGCCTATCAAAAAGCCAAATCAAAACTTGGGAAGAACAAAATGACTTGAGCCAAACAACAGTGGAATAGGCTAATTGGAGGTGATTGCCAAACAACAGCAAAGTGTGTTAATTGGAGGTGATTGATTGTACGATCCGCTGAGGCTCTGCTGCCTATCACTTTGAATTGCCCTCTCAGTAAAAACATACACGCACACACACACACAAATCCTGAGAGTCAACATCCAGCTGAGACTTAGGGATTGCATTAAAAAATGACGCGTCAGTGAGATTTTCAAAAAGGGCACTGAACATGTCAAACCACGAGGGGTGATTCATCTGATTCCTGCCCTTTTTTGCGAGTCAATTTCGGTGTCCCCTTTTTTTTTTTTGTCAGTCAATGAACCATTTGCCAGCACTTTCGCTGAGTGAATCCAAACCTCAAACACGTAAGGGTTCCTTTCAGAACAATGACCTTCTGCATATTGTTCTCAGGCTCACAGTCATTCACCTTCCCTCCTATTGCCTCTCAGTTATCTGAATTGTGTGTCATGAGGCTATGCCCAATAATAATGAAATAATTTGAAAAGTAATAAGAAAAGCACCTATAAACAAGGAGCAGTGTGGTGTGGAGAGATTATGATTAGTGAAATGATTCAGGAAAATCATGTAGGAAAAGCATGAACAGGTGACTTTACCTGTAACCTCAAAGTAGTTAGCATGTAAAGAGCTAGGTACTATTGGACTAGCATTACTGGTACTTAAGGCAGAAGCCAATGTAGTTATTCAGCTTTAAGGTTTTTTTTCCCCACACTAGAGAATTACTCCTATATGTGTATGTGAAATCTACTGATAGAGCTACATTTGTTACTGACTCATAATACATGATCACACTGATGTTTGAAATGTAGCAATCCTAGGTAAATGTTGTGAACAATTATGATTTATACAGGATTACACAAAAATGGCTAAAATGGTCGAGAGCATTCAGATTACATTTGTGTGGAATGCCGAATTAGTTCGTAGATTGCCATCAATTGGAAAGTCTAATCTAGCAGAAAATGTCCTCTCGTGTGAGTGTGGTCATTAATTAAATTGATTTTGGACGTGTTGCTCCTGGATAATCTGTGGATCCTCCCGTGCTGCTACAGACAAACCGCCTTATCTTTCACCTTTGTAACGAGACGGAGCCAGCGAGGAGGAAAAGTAAACAAAGCATGGGGAGGCTGATAAAACAGCTAATTTCTCATTTATCGGGCATCCGGACCTTCTCTGCTCGCGCTGCCTTTGAAAATGAATTCGGGGAAAGATTTCAGTTGGGCGTGCACTAAGAGTGGCTGGACGAACCGGGCACGTCTGTTGAAATAATACCTTGAACTCTGCAAGGAAAACGCTGTACAAACAGCGATTCTGTGTGGGTTGCGCGGTAAATACCCGATGATGAAGTGCGAACGCAGCTGGGTGGAGGCAGACCGATAACATCAGACGCGTCTTTTTTCTCTCCCCTCCTTCCACTCTCTCTCTCTCTCTCTCGCGCTCTCTCTCTCTCTCTCACGCAGACCAAATGCTTCATCTGCGGTATCGGGAATGACTATTTCGACACGGTCCCCCACGGCTTCGAGACTCACACGCTGCAGGAGCACAACTTGGCGAACTATCTGTGAGTATAGCGGAGCTTGCCGATGGGAGCGGGGCTGTAATGAAGTGCGGTGCTGTGCATTAACGGTGCGGACGCAGGGGAGAGCGTCGCCGCCCCCACCCCCACCCCATCACCGAAGAGCGCCCGGAGCGCCGTAATGGAAATGCGTCCAGGACTCTCCAGGCCATTGATCAGAGGGAACCACTAAAGAGAGGGCAACGGCAGTGGCAGATGGAAACAAACATCCGCGGGGACATTTTAGCATAAATGTGATGGCTAAATATTTTAACAGGCACTCTGTTAAATAACTTTTTTTCATCATGGGGCAGGGCTTTTTAAAATGACAGTGGTGTTTTATTTTTTATACTTCTAGATGGGAAAAAAAATTAGCACAGAACCTTGTCCACCGGAGTGGGAGAGTAGAGTTTTGTCATTTTCCCAGTTGCATTTTCAGCGTTTAGCCCTAAGCTGCTGTTGGCTGCGCTGCAAAGACCCCTTTATGATTAATGGGCATAATTCCATAGGCTTCTCACCACCTCATAAATATGCATTGTGTCCACTGAAACCTATAATTGTCCCAAGATGCCAAATGCATACATGTTGAACATGCAGTCTTTTACAGCATGCCAGCTCCCTTAATCTTGTTTAGCTCTTCTTTATTCACCATTTCCTCCAGGACTTTGAGAACTCCGGAGCTGCCCCCGCAGTTATTGTCTTTATGTATGATATCATATTTCATCCGCCTGCATATTTTAATGCAGAGACATTGTAAGGGAATATTGTATGACCTTCTTCAGTCTTGTCTCTTTGTTACAGTAGACAGTAGAACCTGGCATTAGAATGGACTGTTGCCCTGCGTCACAGTGTGCCATTTCAGAGCTTAACACATGCTCTTCATTAAAAGCCTTCCACAGTGATTATTAATAACAACATAAAATGAAGTCTGTGGTGTATACCTTTATTATGATATATATTAAGTTACCAGGAGAATCTATGCTGATTAAAAAAAATAAATAAAAATGCCCACTTATATGAGTCTGTGGTCCTAGTAGGAAGCCGGTGGATTTCAGTTCAGATCTGTGCGATTCATTTAAATGTATATAATTAAATGTATATAATTAAATGTATAATTAAATGTATATAATTAATATCTATGAGACTTTAAATGTATATAATTAATATCTATGAGAAATATCAGTTCCCCCTTTATAGTTTGCATAAATCGCCATACATCAGCATTCAGGTTCACAGTGTAATTTGTCAGTGAGAAAGAGGTGTGATTGTTGCTGTTTTATTCTCTTTTCAGATTTTTTGTGATGTATCTCATCAACAAAGATGAAACAGAGCACACAGGCCAGGTAATCTCCTCTTTAACAGACTGAGGCTTGCATGTGCATATCCATTAATGTTTCAAAATAAAAAGGCAGGTAATTTTGTTTCACTACAGGATATAGTACCCTGCGTCCTCATTTGTATTCAGTTGAGTTTTTTATATGGTATCATGGGGACTCCATGGAACCACAAACTGTTTAGTCATAGTAATAAAACAAAATGACAACATCAACAACAGCAAAACAAACATTTAAAAAACTTTTTTCACAAGCTAAAATAAAAAGCTAAGCAAAATAGTTCTGAGAGATAGTAAATCTGTATTAAATTTGTTACTAATGTCAATAGTGAGGGCTGTGTCCAAACACTTGGTTGTCCATCTCAGTTTAACCCTTGGAGAACACACCATCTTTCACTCTGGTTTGATGTGAGATTTCTGGAACGTTCTTCTTGACAGGAGTCTTATGTGTGGAAGATGTACCAGGAGCGCTGCTGGGAGTTCTTTCCAGCAGGAGACTGTTTCCGCAAACAATACGAAGACCAGCTCAACTGAACACAGACTCCATCCTTTCTTACAAGTGGAAGCGCAAAAAAGGCCAACCATCTTTAAACTACTTCATCGGGAATGCTTTTCAGACTTTGTACATATGTTATACACTGTATATCGTTCCCCTGTGTGCTTTTTGGAGCACAAAGATTGTGTTTTGATGACTTAACTGCTTCATCCTTACATTTGCTTTGAAAACACATTGAAAAGCAAAAGACGAAAAAAAGCGCAAAAAAGCAACAAACTGAAGACTGAAAAAAGAAAAAAAAATTGATTTGAAAAAAAAAACTGTTTCTGGAGACTCATGGGAAATGTTTCTTTTTGAGAGCACATGTATAAAAAAAAGGCAATTATCTTGCTCATCCTAAGCCTCTTTATTTCTACATAAGGATGGAGGTTGTACAATGGGAGGAAGTGTACGGGCGACTGGAGTGAGGATCGTGGGCAGCGAAGGGGATACAGTGCCTTACTAAGCATGGGTTGAGCTATGCAAGCGAGAGAAGATGACTGCATGACTACATCACAGATCCGCTCATTGGCTGATGTGTAGTCCTGTCCGGCGTGCTGACCGTCTGGGTGTCCGTGTGTATGCGTGTGCGTGCGCGCGCGCCTGTGTGTGTGAGTGTGCGAGACAAAGGGAGAGAGAGAGAGAGAGAGAGAGAGGGGAGCATACTGTTTGTGCACCTCAGAACAAATGTCGGGTACTCATATCAAGCTCGGTCACCTCTCACCGATTATTTGGCTGTTTTTCTTTTTTTTATTATTATTTTGGTAATGCTCTTATGCAATACAGCGACAGAGTTAATCTTTGTATACAATGAAAAGAAATCTTTGAAAAAGATGTGTCATTGCATGTTTATTATGCAAGTTTAACAAAACCGTTAAAAAATAAAGACGCAAGTTGATCGATGTCACACTAAAAAAAGATGTTTTATAGGTTTAAGATTACTGATATCTCTATAGTATTCAAAGTGTTGTGGGCTTTATTGTAAATTCCAAAATCAATGTCATCAGCCAAGAATGCATACTGATATATAAGATTTGACAATAGGCTTCATCCATCATCACCTGTGTTTTAATTACTGTAGGTAAGGATACTTTGTTGATTCATTTTGATTGAAGCTGAAGCAATACCCATTCAGGGATTCCATGGAACATCATTGTAAAGCAACAATGTGTAGAATACTCCATTTTGTTTTCCAGTTGTTTCTGACTGAAATGCCAATCTTTGCAAATAAAACCTTCAGAATAAAAAGATTTGGTG